ATCATTCATAAAAGATTTAAGGCGACTCAAGAGATAGAAATAATATGTTCTTTATTATACGAGTATGTTTAACTAATCAACGAAATTATATATAATTGAGTATCGGTTGGTCAATCATATTAGGAAATAATACAGGAAATACCCATTTCATAAAAGCTTTGATCCATTTGCCCTTGAGGACGAGCTTCCACCTTAACATCGAATGTATGCGAGGGGAAAGTCACCCTCTTTCTCTGCTGCCATTGCCACCCCACTCACTCTTCCACCACTAACTGATTTGCCGCAGTGCCGGCTCATTACATTAGAAAATAAGCGATCTCTATTTTTTGCGATGTTAACAAAAAGTTTTCATGCGATTTGAAATACAAATAAAAAGAAATATATTTTGGACATTATAATTTAATTAAATATTTTTATATATAATCTATTATAAAATTTTAAATTAACTATTAAAAATTGTTTATTTAATTTGTATATAATTAAAATAAATTGTTTAATTAAATTAAACCTTTAATGCGTTAAAAGAGAATTATTTATTCATAATTAAGTTAATTTAAAACTTTAATTACGTAATTTAAAACTTTAATTACGTAATTTAAAAAATATATTATTATTTTGATTTTAATCAAATGTTTATAATATGTATAAACAGCTTTTTCTTGCAATAAAATTATAATTAAAAAAAATATGTACACAAAAAATTTCGATGGTAATCAACGAATAGATCTTTAAGCACATGTAATTGTTTAACTTGGTTACCTCATTAATCATATTAATTACACAACTGTTATTCATGTTTACAGTACTTGTACTGCGTACATCATAAAGTATTTAAAAGTAATGTAAATAAAAATAAAATGAAATAACATCTGAAGATAAGAAATTGAAAAGAATAATATTATATTATATATAACAAAAGAGTAAAAATCAGAAGATAAAAATTAAGCAAGAATTTTACCTATGTATTTATAGGGTACTAGATAAAATTGGATCTTTTAAAATTCAATTTTTTACCTAATGATCTAATAAAATAGAATAATATTTCGTTAAATTTCTTTGTAGAAAAAAAGGACAGATCCTTTGCAATAATTGTTGGTAAAATCACGGGGAGAAATGAGAAAACGGGTCATCACTGGTACCATTGCCTCCTCCATGGCCTCCTTTCGCCCCACTATGAACACAAGTTCCATTCCCTCTATCAGAATCGCTCTTGTGGGGAACGGACGAACAGGCGCCGTCATTCTAGCCAGTCGCGATACAAAGTTCACAGAGACAGTTCGTAATTCATATATTTATCAGGAATCAAAAACTCCACTTCCTAGTCGAGCTAAGCTAGTCTCTAAGTCGACATCGACGAGGTTGAACATAGATAGAGGGAAAAAGATCGACGTGCGTTCGATTTACGTTTTTTCTCCTATTGCTGGTCGTTCATATCAGCAACCACGAAGCTTCTCGAGGGCTCCACTACCGAGTGCGAGGTTGGGAGGGCCATGAAGACGTCCACGTTATGCAGTGACTTGATCAAGCAGGAGGTGAGCGAGTGGTCGAACAGTGAATGATTAGAAGAAGCTTAAAGGGCAAAATGTGTATCTGTGTCTCTGTGTATGTCTGTTTGTGTGACATCATGTACACTTGGACTAGAAGACGTTTGAGGAAAGCTCGATAAAAAGCTTGGTATTTATTTAATATTTCCTATAATTTCCATAACATTTAAATCAGACTAGTTTAAAATTCGATTTTTATCATTTTATTTCTTCAAATTACCTGCATTTGGAATATATTGAGAAGATCAGGGATGTAGAAAACAAGCTTGAAAGATTAACTAAAATTGGAGCCAAGGTTAGAAAGCAAGGTCGGAGAGAACATTAAAAGATGGCGAAAAGAGAGAAAAAGAAGAAGAGGCGATGTTTATGATTATTTAAGGACTATATAATTTCTTAATTATTACTATCAAAAGTGTAAGAGGCAAGAGCTCAAAAGATAGATTAGAGGAATGGGTCACTAGACCTGAATAATAGGATGCACAAAATTAAAAAATCTTAAAGGAAAAAATGTTTAAAATATTTGAAATACAGTGATGGATTAATAATAAAATAATTCTCGCTTTTACATCAAAGAAATTGTAATTAAAAGTAATAATAAAATGCATAAAAGTATTAGAAGTATTTGAATATTAAGTAGAAATGAATATTTAAAGTTACCGGTCGAAAATATATGGAAACAAGATAAAAAAATATCAAGATAAAAGAAATATCTATGATTATAATAAATCGAATTTTTTTTTCGTTTTAATTTTGATTGCATGGTTTATAAAGTGTTACAAGCGATATTAATATAAACAAGATAAGCAAATAGATTAAAAAATAAAATTAATAAATATTGGATTAAAAATAAAAAAGATGTGATACAGAAAAAAAAATTTGATAGAATACGAATTCTAAAAAAAAATAAGGCAAGTTATAAAAATAAAAAAAAAAAAAAAGAGAGAGAGAGAGAGAGAGAGAGAGAGAGAGAGAGAGAGAGAGAGAGATCGAACGATAATCAACGATAAAAATTTTATAATTGTTGAAAAATTTTATAGACTTTTTAAAATTAAACTTCTTTCTTATATTTTGAAAAAAGTCAAACAAACAAATATTTTCGATTATAAATAACTAAAGAAATAAAATCAAGAATGAAACTTAATTGGGACAATTAACAGTTGAGTAATATCAATTGAGCCTCGCAATGTTAGAAGAATATAACTTGAGAATTTTCCATTTCTTTTTTAGAAACATTGTAACGCAATCATTTTATTATATTTCATAATTTTCTCCAAAAGCAGAAATAATTGTAAAAATGTAAAAAAAATAAATATAAGATATAATAAAAGTTTCAAGAAAAGTTTATTGAATGACATAATACAATTACATATGCGCGAAGGGATGCTGTGTGATAGAATTGATCTCGCGTAAGAAACGCACATCTCTCCTAAGTAAATGTCAACAATGACGATGTCAACAGTATAATAACGGAATCGTTTAATCGTATTCGCTGAGAATCGTTTTGAATCTTTACCGTTAACGTTTGTGAATAATAAAGGAAATCGACAGAATTTAGTGTGTTGCTGCTGCTGCTGCTGTAATAAAACGCAGTAAACAGAGTTCTATTAATGGAAAGAATGAAGATAATAATTTGATATTACACATAAATTATCCGGCAAATGATCTAATGAAACTAGATAGTGTATAACTTACTTAAAAGGTGATGCTAAAAATAAAAATTAACTGATATTTGCTTTTTTCTTTAATTAACATACAACGCGGTATAAATACATAAATTAATAAGTTAATTACATAATACGTACATTATGAAGTGGAAAGTAGATGATAGAATCAGGTTAGATAAGCAGGAAGATAAGAAATGGAATGCAGTTAAGGGTTAACGTATAGCTGCGTATGTTAGTACATTGTCTGACGAGTTCGCAGTCACAAGGCAGTTCACAAAGCGCGGTTCATTTGTTTTCTTCGTTTTTTGCGAGCAGCTTTGAAAGTAGTTGAATCATGCAATTAGCTACGTAAACGAGACCACAAATGTAAATGAGAATATAAATAAGTATTATCAAGAGAAATCTCTGACCGTTGAACGCAGATGCCATCGTTACCGTTGAATATCGTTGAGACATGCGATGTATACTTTATCCTTTAAGATGTGTCTTCGACTATACTTAATTTTATGCTATATAATCAAATTTTATAATAATAAATGGATAATACATATATCTAATATATACTTGTTAATTTACAAATATATGTAAATATATATTTATAAATTAATAAAATATGTAACAGATATATCTATATATTATTTATTATTATGAAATTTATAAATACATATTTATACTATGTATTCATATTTATGTTTATTACAAATTGTCAAACAATTTATACATTTTGCACGTAGGTGGACTCAAGTTTTACAATTATAGATTTTATTTCTGTTCAAAATTTATGATACACATATCTTTATAAATAAGCTACGATAAAAAAATTATGAATCCAAATTTATAATACGTTTTGTCACGTGCATTAACTCACGTACTTTTGCATACGCTGCGTGTATATTTTACTATTATTCATTCATGATGGATTCTATTGGTCAGCGGGCGGGTGTGTCAGTGACGTCATAAATCGATGTTTCATTACGCTCTCGGTGGGAGAAAGAACGTATCAAATTGGCGGGAAATATGATATCTTTTAATCGGTTCAAGTATCCTGCTTCCATTTATAATTAAAAATATTTTCTATTTTTATTAACTGTCAAATATACTGAATTATAATTAAATTGACATTATTAAATCTGAGTAAACGTTACTTTTATCTTTATTCTTCTATTTATTTTTTTAATGTTTAAGACTTATATGTGCCTAAATGCATATGCTTTCGTGTTTGCAGAATCTATTCATGTTAGCTGCGTTACATTAAAACTTTCCACTCAAGATCTCTCAAGTTATATTTTTTTTCTTTTTATCGCTTCGAACGTTAAGACGTGAAATCTTCAAGAAACCGAACGCTTATAAAGAAACATCATATTACTGACAAAAATAGTTTAATGTATAGAAATATATAGAAAATTTGTTCTGTTCAAGGACTGAAGAATCATTTTTTTTCCTATAAAGAGTTAATGCGTAGTTTAATAAGTATATGATAAAAAATAAAGAAAACTCGACTTGAAATTTCGCTTAGAATTCATATAGGAAGTACAATTTGGGTGGGTGTTCGTGCTGAATTTCTCACCGGTATGACGTCGGGGGTCAGAAATCAATAGTGAAAGGATCGATCGTCTCGCGTTCGAAATTTCTCGATGTTATATGCGCATCAGTGAGAGCGAGAACGTTATGCAATGCCCGTGTTCGGTCGTGTTGTGTGGTGCGCGTGGTGCCTAAGGACGATTCAAGGTCACCCAATAACACCGCCATGCGGATCGATAACGAGTCTCATCGTTCATTTATCTGTCTGTAGATACGAGATGCCTGCAAGGACCTCGTCCTATCAGATAACCAGCTCCGGCTGGTCATGCAGAGGCTCACCGATGAAATCAACAAGGGTTTGTCGAGGGAAACTCACGACGATGCGGTCGTCAAATGTTTCACCACTTATGTGCAAGATTTGCCGAATGGCACAGGTAAATAAGAAAGCAGCTTCGCAATTGTAAAATTCTTTAATATGATTGGTTTTGTCCTTAATTCCTCATTGGATCTAAAATAATTCAAATGTATACACCAATCATATTAAAGCATTTTACAACAATTGCATATTTATATGGAATTCATATATAAAAAGACTAGAAGGTCTATCCTGTAACTCTTAACGACTGTAACTGAAGTGTTACAGTATTGTTGCGCAGCTTTTTTTACTATATACAAAACTTGCACAATGTTACACTGTAACGCTACAGTTGTAGGCCGATATTTCATTTGTGCGTTTTTATCGTACGACAAGCTTTTCCTGCGTGTTGATTGGCTATAGGATAGAGAGATCCGAGGACCTCTCTGTCTTGTACACATTTGTCGTACGACAAAAACGCACAAATGAAATATCGGCTATAGTCGTAAAGAGTTAAGGCCTCTAAGACGCAGTAAGTGCTGTCCGAAAGCTTGACATTAAAATCGAATGTAAAAATTCATCAAGCACACATATAATTATATTTTAGTAAGATTCGTTTATGATTGTTGACATTTATGCAGATTTTTAGGATATTTTTATAAGCCTGGAGAAATTATATGCTAAAGAAAAAGAAAGACAGATTATAGAAAGATACAAGTCATTCAACTATGCATTGTTTCTGTATCCTCAAATTTATATATACAGAAGATTAATTTAAGATTCATTCATATGTATTGAAACGTGGGAAAACAAAAAAGCTTTATAGAAAAACGATACTATACCAAATATCAATAAGGAGGAATTAAATAAAAATTGCTTAGATCTTGAAAGAAAGTTGCGGTTAAGTCTAATTTTTTTTTTACAGAAAAGGGCAACTTCTTGGCGTTGGATCTGGGCGGTACAAATTTTAGAGTGTTGCTAATCACATTGGACCGTCAGAATTTCGATATGAAAAGCAAGATCTACGCAATACCCCAGAGTTTGATGCTGGGAACCGGTACTCAGCTGTTCGATCACATTGCTCAGTGTTTGGCGTTATTCGTAAAGGACCTGAATTTGCAGAACGAGGTACTACCATTAGGTTTCACCTTCAGTTTTCCCCTGACCCAGTACGGATTGACAGAAGGCCACCTGGTGAGATGGACCAAGGGCTTCAATTGTAGCGGCGTAATCGGTGAAGATGTCGTTGCCCTTCTTGAAGACGCAATTAGTAGAAGAAAAGTAAGTGCGAGTTGCATAGGAACGAGATATTTTATATCCAGATACATATATCTATATAATGAAATATATATTAAATTTTTCAATCTAATTCGTTTGTTATTTTATTAATTATAATGAGATGTTTGAAAGTTAATATTCATGTTCTACAAAGATGTTATAAAAACTTAATTTTAAAAAATCGATATAAATATAATTTTCCACAGGACGTTAAAATCGACGTATGTGCGATCTTAAATGACACCACCGGTACTTTAATGTCATGTGCTTGGAAAAATCGAAACTGTCGAATCGGTTTAATCGTCGGTATGTACATAACATTAATTTTTTTTAACTAAAACGAATTTTATAATAGATTATTATCGTAATGTATAAATATCAATTAATTTATATAAATAAATTTGAACTTGAATAAATTTGCAAACTTAAATGTTAAACTACATAATAAAAAAAATAACATTGCTGAAGAAAATTAAGTTCTTAGCAAATTATAAGTTTTATTACTATTCTCAAATAAATTTTATCTCTTCGTAAATTTGAATACGTAAAGTATTACAATATATATATACAATTATAGGTACTGGAAGCAACGCCTGCTACGTCGAAAAAACAAAAAACGTACAATGTGCGATTCCAGGCAACTATAGCTCAGGCAAGCCCGATATGCTCATAAATACAGAATGGGGCGCATTTGGTGAACAAGATGTGCTAGATTTTGTGATAACCGAATTTGATCGTGCCATAGATGAAAATTCTATCAATCCTAATAAGCAGCTGTTTGAGAAAATGATCTCGGGCATGTATATGGGTGAACTAACAAGGCTGGTTCTTGAGAAGTTAGTGAACGCTGGCTTTCTCTTCGGCGGTAAATGTCCCAATGATCTCAGAAAACGCGGCAAATTTTTCACGAAATACGTCTCCGAGATCGAAAAGTAAGTATTAATTGATATTATAATTTCATATTAATATTATAATTAAAGATAAAATTTCTCCAGATTTACCATAAGCGCTAAATTGGATTACGTGATAGAGACCTCTCTAATCTTTGCTTTATCTAGAAAAATTAATCGAAAGCATTACTTATCGATGATTAAGGATCATAAAATATGGACTAAAATTCGTTTCATGTGATTAATTAAGGATTAAGCTATGAAAATTCCAGGTATTAATTAAAAATATGTTTGCGTGTTTCAGTGATCCTAAAGGTAGATATACGAATTGTCGGGATGTATTAGCCGAGCTAGGAATGCGGAATGTAAGTGATCAAGATTGTGAAAATGTGAGATATGTGTGTTCGGTGGTATCGAGGAGAGCTGCGCATCTGGTGAGCGCAGGAATAGCAGCATTGCTAAACAAAATAGGGGAGAATAATGTCACAGTAGGCATTGACGGATCGGTATACCGATTCCATCCACACTTCCACGATCTCATGACAGCGAAAATCAGCGAACTTCAGAACTACAAGGTAAGAATAATGGAATAGAAAATGAAGAAACTATTACGAGTGTAATAAAAATAGGGCTACGAGCCAAGCAAGGTCTTAATGCTAAGTTATTAAAAACCAAACAGTTTATTGTAACAAACGTTTCGACCCTAATTGGGTCATTCTCAACGTTAACCTTGACACAATATAAAAATCAACTACTCATTTAAATAACAATCTTGAGCAAAATATGTAACATGATTTAGTTAGAAATTATAATAATATATAAGTTTCAACGTTGTGTATGTACCCCTACTGTTGTAGATGGTTGTGAGCATTGCTCAATATAAAAACGTGAAAATTTATTATATTAATTTTATAAATTATTTAAGCCTTAGTTCTTATATTATTTTTATTACGAGTATATTTTTTATCTTACAAAAATGTATTTGTTCCAAAGTAAAAAATTAAGTAAAATTAAAGCTTAAGATTTTTATTTAAAAACTACTCTCTCTCTCTCTAGAATATATAATGAATGGAAATTACGTTTATTTAAAGAAACAAATTCTTTTGAATGAGACAACGAAACAACGCTATATTATAACGAACAAAGTAATTTTTATTCCTTGATTTCACTGAGTTCTTTGTTGCAGTTTGACTTGATGCTCTCGGAGGACGGTAGCGGCCGCGGCGCTGCTCTGGTCGCTGCAGTGGCGTCGCAGAGGCGGTGAAGACGCGGTAGTCGGTAGCGAGTTAGCTGCAATTCAATTACGTGTAATATAAAATCGAACGACGGTATGAGAGAGCTGACTAGAGTGAACGAGTGAACGAGTGAAAGCGATCGAGTATGGAAAAGAAATATGGAATCTTTTATTTTCTTTTGTTCGTTTCAGCTGCACTTTTTACACTCTCTGTCTTCTTCCTTCTTTTAAGACCGTTTTAAATCATTTTTTAGGCTTCTTCGAAACCTGGATAGTTTGTCAGTTAGGAAAAGGTAATTACATATAAGATGTAATCAAATATTGAAAATTAGATTACGAGTTCGTTTTTGATAAAAGAAAAAAAGATATTGAAGTAACATGCACTAGTATGCGTGTTACCTGCCTTGTTTTGAAAATTTGTAAAAAGATGTAAGAGAGTGCAGTTTAAAAGAAATGAATAGAATCCAAAAAAAATTACGCGATGAATATTTCTTGTACATAGAGCACAAAAACAGTAACTTACAATTAGCGGATTAGAAGACGGTGACTATTTAGTTAATGTTCTTGCCAAAAAACTAAGAACATCCTTCCTGCGACGATCTAGTACGACGATCGCTATTTAGCGTGATTCGCATATCCACTCGTTAGCGTAAATGGTTAATCTCGCGATTCTGCGAGGAAAAATTAGCAAGAGAGAGAGAGAGAGAGTTAAATATATTTGAATAAAATGAGTAAATTGCTGGATATAGTAAACTGGTAAGAAGAAATATCGAGTGGCCGTGTCAATTGTTGATTGTTAATAAAAATATTGATGAATGTAAACAAATTAAATCGAGGATAAATAGATCATAGCGATTGTCAGAACAAAGATTAATTCGAGAATAAATACAGTTTTTCATCGATATTTAAGTACTATTTCAGTTAATCCTTTCATTTTATTGCATCATGTCTCCAAATCATCGAATATTATTTACGTTTTAAATTTTCCATCAATTTAAAAACGATTACTACTTAAGGAAAATATACTTTAGGCTGCCTTTATGGTTAGTAGTTGAAGATAAAATACTTACAGACTTCATAAGGAAACAAAAAATTAGATCGCGACATAATTATTTTCAATCAATTTTAAATAAATTTAAATGAGATTGTATCTTCTTTCAAGTTTAGCTGGAATGATACATAGAATTGGAAACCTTAATATCGGAAAGTTTTAATCCTGAATTATCATTTAAAAAAAATTTTTTTTAAATTGAATTTATTCGATTCTATATTAGCAGTTTTTATTTAGTGTTACCTTGTATATATAATGATATTGTTAAGTTATTAGATATCTCTGACGATTGCATGGAAGATAAAACATTCGGGGAATTTTATCAGCTTTATTAATCGAGTATATATCCTTATCATTATCGCGATAAGGCCTAATGAGATAAATGATAAGGCTCGCGAAGTTTCGTTGGTTTTTTAGTGTGCTTGTTTTCAACAACACCGTGTACATTTCGGAATTCTGAAATCTAAAAATTACACAATTCTTATAAATTTTGCGAGTTTTTTTCCGTCGACGATTGCGAGCACTTAAGTGAGTACTCATACCGGAGTATAATTAAGTCAAAAGTTAATAAAGTGATATAAAAATAAAGTAATGCAAATTAAAGTGCGAATGATTTTCTTGCTTAATATTTCCAATTTTATATCCTTGGTTTTAACGAAGATAAAATTGTATTAATTAATGGATTTATAAGTAGTACTACTACAAGCAAAAAGATTATTTCATTATTCGTAAGATTACATAGAACAGAAGTTTTTAGAGAGAGTATTTGGAAAATATTTTCCTTTTCTGGAAAGAAAAATAATAAATATAATGTAAAATGTGTGTACAAGTATACAACGATATTTTAAGAGAACTATTTCTCTTTACTGCCGTCATTGGAAAATTATTTATGGAAACAGAAAAGCCGGGGAGAGTAGAGAGAGAGAGAGAGAGAGAGAGAGAGAGAGAAAGCGAAAGCGAGTGATAGCGAGAGTGAATGAGCAAATACATCATCGCTCTCCAAGCGATGACTTTTTTTATATGTAGAATGTTATTAATATTGTTATGTACACGTTGCTGTTGAGAATAAATAATCATGCAAATAAAGAGATATTTCTTTTCATTGCTATTTAATTACTGCGTAAACAGTGAAATACAAAGTTACGTTTCAAAAAAATTAATTACAGAGAAACGCAAAGATATTTTCTCAGAAGATGGACCATCCTAGACAACACAATGTCTAAATTATCTAGAAGACACATTTTATGATGTCTTTTAAATACCTTATATTGACTTTCTACAATAAGCCATTAGCTAAGTTTTAAACCTTAAGAAACTGAGCTGAAACTAGTTGAATTAAAAGAATAATAGACTATACGGTATTCATAGATCGTTCTTATTTTAAGACTAATTATTTTAAGACTCGTTCTTATTTTAAGTAATATCTTAAGATGCTAATATAGCTCTTTGGCTGGTATTCATAGTCGGTTCTTATTTCAAGATCATCTTAAATAATATTTTAAAATTAATGCGGCCCTCTGATTGATTCGTGACACCTCAAGACTGTATTTAAGACGGTCTTAAATATAAGATCTGACTATAAATACCGGTCTTTGACCATTATTCAGATTTTATATTTAAGACGATCTTAAGTACAATTTTAAGATATCGCAAATCAGAGGACCATATTAGCATCTTATTCTAAAGCCGATTCTTATTTTAAGACCGCTTTAAGTAATGTCTTAAGATGCTAAAACGGCCCTTTGATTGGCTTATGACATCTTAGAACTGTACTTAAATATAAAAATCGACTATGAAAATACTAGCCTAAGAACATCTCTAAGAATGTAAGACTATCTTGAAATGTGAGAACAAACTATGAAGATCAGCCTCATATTGATTCATGACATCTTAAAACTGTACTCAAGATGATCTTAAATATAAGAATCAACTATTAAATCAGTTTTCGGCCTTATTGGTCAATTTCTTACAGCTTAAGACTTAAAGCTTAGGTAATGGCTTATTTTAGAAAGCCCATTAGACACTCATATTCTAAAAGACTTCTTTGGATGGTATTCATATAATCGATTCTTATATTTAAGACTGTTTTAAGAACAGTCTTAAAATGTTATAAGCTAATCAGGTGATTGTATCTTAAGATATTATTTAAGATTGTCTTAGAAGAAGAATAGATTAAGAATATCGCCCTTTGTCTTTTAGCATATTGTCTGAAATGAGGGAATCGAACCCACGACTTTCGTTAAGCAACCATTTGTCAATACGCGACATTTAGCAACTGAGCTAATGATCCTCTTCAATTACCTACTTTGGTTAAAGCTTTTAGAATGAATCTCACTTTGAAGAGTAAAATCTTATTTTTAAAGATTAAAAATTGAACCATGTACTCTTTTTTATGATTGCTTTAATTTTTATTCTTTAAAATGAGATATTTTATTCTGAAGAATTTAGAAAGTATGTGTTTTGTGAGACTATTTTAGTATAATTTTGCGACTTATTTACGAAAAAAATGTAAACGCAACGAGTAAGTATATATACTATCATGCATTCAATCGTATGTACGTATGTATATACAGTGAGTACAGAAAGTACTCGTACAAAGAAAATATTTTTTTAAAAAACTTTATTTTTAAAAAGTAAATATTATCCAGCGAGAAATAAGTCATCGTATTGATGTCGAATCGATATAAATACGATGCTTTCAACTTGACGTCAATTCGATGTTTAATTGACGATCATTTCTTGTTGTATAATTAACAATTTATTCATAAAAAATAAAATAGACTGTATGTTTCTTAAAATTATATATACCAAAAAGATGTGTATTAATTATACAAAATATATCTGAAAAATAAACGAAAATTAAAAATTGTATTGTTTGAATGCTCAAAAAGTATTCATACAGACGAGAAATTTCACTTCTAAAATCAGGAATATATACGAAGTTCGTTCGTTTATGTTAGAACAGAATGTATTTATTGTGTAAAATTGCTAATTAATGTTTATTTTCTACAAATAAGGCTTTTTTTATAACAAATTTCCTTGTACGAATACTTTTTGCTCTCACTGTATGTACATACCGTCAATACCATCGCGACCGCGACATTCCGCATGTGTCTGTTGATGTTTGTTTACGACGCCGGGTGTACTTTTCGCACAGGCGCACATGTGATCCTGGTGTCGCCACCTGGTGCACCTTCGATCGTCTGGTATCGTGGGTCGTGGGTCGTGGGGGGGATACGTCAAAGTCGCGCAAAGCCGCTGGCCGCTGTAGGCTGTAGAGAAAAATCTGTTCCGCCACACGATGGGGCGCGACTGGACAACACTACGCGGGAATGTCTCGCGAGTACGCGGATGAGAATAAGGGTTGTGCGCGAGTGTATCCCTGCGAGAGAGTTAACATGATCAGCGGCATTCAGATCGCCCTGAAGAATGCCATTGACGTGGTGAGTAAATAATCAGTCGGTGGCGACGACGATAGCGTCTGCTACCAATCGCGCAGTTGCGCTATGTCCTTGCATTCAGCGATAACAAATATGCTAAATAGTTCCCTATCGCAACGGGAGGGAAACCTAATGTACTTTACGGTCGAACACGAGTGATGTCAAAAAGATCTCACTCAACTCCAATCTTGCAATCCTTTTGGAAATCCGATTGAATGTACTTAATATTGACAGAAAAGAGGAGTGTTTACGAACAGGCCGTTTGTATTGTAATTTTTTTACAGTTTATAATAAGTCGCTACCAAGATAGCATATGTGCATTGACAATTTTAAGTCCATAGATAGAATTTATTAAAATTCGTGTGTGCTTTTATATTAAATGAATATTATCTCCTTTCTTTAAAATAACTATTACTATTTTAAATGTATAGATTTTTCCGCATCTACTATAGCTATTTTAAATGTACAAATTTCTTCCACATTTATAGATTTATTCCTGTAATATTTTCGCAGTTGGAGATGTTGCTCTTAAGATTTTTCAGACGAACTATCCTTCCTAGAGAAACCATTGACATATTTTTCAACTCCTCCAGTGACTCGTAAAACTATATTCTTATATGATAAAAATAAGAGCAAGTACATGAAAATAAATGTATGAAAAAAGTATCGGAAAAATATAAGAAGTAAATAGAAAATATGTGTGTGTGTAAAACAATTAACAAATACCTAGTGCTTACAGAATTCTCTCCTATTTGAAAGAAGGACATTCGCGTCGAGTTGGACAATGTAATAAATTGACAAACAATTTGAAATTATATTACTAACATTTATCGAGTAATATTACGCATACTTTGACATAAAAACATTGTTTTCATATGCAATTAATCTCTTCCATTCTTTTGTGCAATAAAATATATGAAAAATTAAAAACTGTTTTGATCTCAAATTGATTTGACGCGAGTAGGAATTAATTTCGTAATCGTAATCTACACTTTGATTCCCGACTACAGTATCTAATTGTTGATATGTAATTTACCTGTGGCCTTACACAAATTTCAAAACCATCTCCCGAGATCTTCTTTAATATTAATATCGACCGGTTATTATTGACCGTTTCTATTTTTTTTTAAATATACAAAGGGTTAAAATAAAATAAATCATCACAATAAAAATAACTTTATTGTGAGCTATTTTTTTTAGATTAATATTATATATATATATATATATATATATATATATATGTCCTGTGTAAAAAATAGAATTTTAAAATTTTCTATTTTTTCAATGTGCTTAGTAATGAAATATTTGATATTTCACTTTCTTTATATAATTTATTAGCTTGGTTTTTTTTAGTAAATAAAAAACATTGATATTTCACCAAAAAATTCTAAAGATTAATACATTATTTGTTTGAATAGTACCAACTAAATGTTTACTAAATATAAATACATTTATTTGGTACAAAACCATTAATTTAACAATCATTTATTTATTGTAAATAAGTGTTCAGTAGGCATTATTCAAATAAGTATCCATTAAAATTTAGTACTGGCATTTTTCTTTCAGTGTTCTAATTTTAACTTATTTTGAAAAAAATATATTATA